CCCCCCGCCACTGAAAAAAAAACGCCTGAAACGCGGCCGGCAAAGGAGGCTGAAATAATTCAGGGACTGTAGCACGTCCAAGAGAGGGGCACAAGTAAAAGCTACCAGCAATGGTGGCCAAATCACGATAACTAAAGTTTTATGAAGTCTAGTACGTCCATTATCAATTCTGTCTCTCCTCGCTTGCTTCCATCAATCTACTCAACGGTGCCCATGCCAGCTAGCTTCCCCTCTTCACTTAACGTTCAAATCGTCCGAAACTTTTCGCGTCAGCCTTTTGGCAGGGATGTCACCCAAGATGATCGATATAGATCGATTGGGCCACTACATATGCGTGCCGTTGTCGCTACTTTTGACTTATTTTTTTCCGTCACTCTCTGAGCCCAAACAGGTAAGGTAGGTACAATTATGTGTGAATTTAAATAGAAAAAACAAAGGTTTCCTGTCTTTCCAAAACTTTGTCTATCGCATCTGAACCATGTATTCGAAATACCATAGTCATTTCTGAAGTACACGTAACAGGTTACATGTACGCAAAACAAAACGTATTGCAACGCGCTAACGTACTGAACCCATGTGATAACAACTTGGGTTTTCCCAAGAAGAAAAGTGTGTAAGTTTTGCCATTCCCAGAGCCATGTAACATGTACCAATCTTCATATACATATATGTGAACTCGAATCAAAAGGTTGCAACGAGTGGAAAAACAAGCGCCTTTCCAGACCTGATTTATTTATTTAGTACGTATCTGTAAAGAGGCCAAAAACAAAGTAAGACAAAAAGTAGTGCTAGCGATTTTTCATGGTCTAAACCCAAAATAATTCATCATACACTAGACAAAAGAGGATTTAGCACCCTTCTCTGCCCCTCTAACTCGTTTTCACTAGTAAGAGGTTCTATGAATACTACTGCTACTGCTACTGCTGCTGCTGCTGCTGCTACTACTACTACTACTACTACTACTACTACTACTACTACTACTACTACTACTACTACTACTACTAGTCTACTGCTGCTGCTGCTGCTGCTGCTGCTACTTCTGCTACTACTGTGACTACCACTAGCCTAGTGTAAAGGTGCTTTTTAGCATTTCAGTCAAAAATAGTGTCGAATACTACTTTTGACTGAAATACTTTCTGAACTAAAAATATGAGATAAATAGCTAGAGCTCGTTTTCCTGTACAGAATATCAGGACCGGGATCCGAACAAGTCCGATGTCTGAGCCCACAGCTAACGGCGAGGGATCGATGGATCGACCGTGACTTCGTGCCGAAAGTAAACTTTCCTCCCGCCGACCTGTCAGGCCAAGTGATCGATCAGTATCGATCCCTTCATTATTCCATCGCCAGCTGACATTTCCAACCAGGTCCGTTTCATCCATCATCCTCGGCGGGATGATTAAAATTGATTTGCTGTAATTATGCCTGGGCGGCTAGAATTTCTTCTGAAGGCTGGACATGTCGATACTTCGATTGGATATCTAGCACGGCGGGCCGGATTGTTTTAGCAGACTCCGGTCATTTGTAATTGTACATGTTCGCAGGGCGAAAAAGTTCTCAGTCAAGCCGGCTGCACAATCATTTATATCGTCACATGGACGAAATGTTTTGATGCCAAGTTCTTTTGGTCATGAATCATGCAAGTGCAAACTTTTGACGAAATTCTGAATGTTATAAGTTATGAATATGATAAATTACTACTAATATTTTGCACTGTGTCTAATTGCACGTAACAAGACAAATGCAACGAATGAAGACAATAACATAAGGCTATGTGGCTACTAGTAACAGAGTTAGAAGAGTGGAAGACCAAAACAATCCCATTGTGTTCGGTAATAATATGTGGATTCGGCTGAGGCTTTTTTGTAGCATTGTCTGTAGCTGATTTTGACATCATTACCTATTTGAAGACTAGTAACGTTACTGTTCTGGAATTCTTGCCTCCACCCGACCGGCCTATACTACGGGTGTACGGATCGTAGAATTCGTTAAAGAAAGGGAAGTAGTTGGCCAGGTGAGTCAGTCCGTGCACGTGGGAAGGCAAATGAACTCTACAATGACAAAACTCCCCTAGCTAATTACCCCCCCCCCCATTTAATTGGCATTTTTTAAAACCCGCGGTGTTACAATTATCTGATAGAGGGTAGAATTCTCCTAGGTTGTCGATCACTTGGACATGGAATATAGTATGACACTATCCACAGCCTCTCAGAGACCTACGCTTGGTCGGGGTCTACGATATAAACTTAAACTTAAAGCTGTAAAGAGCTATATGACACACCTGACACACCTCAAAAAGGACACGCGCAGCTATCCTGACGAACGGTACCTTAAGCAGAACTTAAGATAACTAGCTCTATCATCGCGTCTGCGGTGTCGCAGTCAGTCCGGAAAGTCTAAGCCTGGGATACAGTGGTCCTGGGGCGGAGATTAACGGTTTGCGTTGTGCATGGGAACGAGATTCGTTCTTAGGATACCCACTGGAGGGTTTTTAATGGGTCGTATATAGATATTTGAGGAAAGTTTTACCGCATACTTCTCTGTGGAGGTGAAGGTGATATATAAACGGCTAAATTATACGTGCTTGTACTTCGGTATGTTTACATGCATAGTCATATCGAAATTATCTATGACCATTGGGTGTCGTCAAGATTGGAGACTGAGGTGGAAAATCACGGGCTTGCATGACGTGCATTGGAAGCAATAAAATAGAAAATAACAGTGATAAGTTATCTATAAAACAGCCAGGTTTTAATAGCTCAGTAATTCATACACTATAGAAATGTGCAAAGGTGAAAACTTGTATATGGACGTTTTCATGATACGAAACGCTAGACTCCACCAGGCTTCGTAGGATCGTAGGATTCGACAAAAAGGGAACTAGTACTAGTTGGCCAGGGGAGTCAGTCCGGGGGAGAGTTTGCCTAGCCTCTACCGGGCTTCCGAAGCGTATGGAGCGGAGAGCGAAAACCATTCTCTATAAAGCGGCGTACCAACTCCCATGGCATATCATCTCTGTCTATTTGGTCACTCTTTCCAGTAGCCTCCGTAGCAGCTATAGAACCAGAACTGGGGGTTTGGTGGTCTTCGGCTGTTTTCTGATTAGCCCTGTTCTAAAATTCAATCAGGCCGACTATGTTGTCTATATGCAATTAGAAAATAGCACATGAAAGCTCTCAAAGAAGACCCCCCAAACCCCCAGTTTTTGGCATGCTGTGGAGGCTATCTCAAGTCCAACCGCTTCCCGAAGTCTGGTAGAGGCTAGTTAATTTCCCCCTCATAATTCCACAGCGACCAAACTCCCCCTATTTGGCTAAATTTTACTGTTTGTAAACTCTTTATCGATGTCCTGCTATAGGTGTCGAACACACAGATTCGCCCTTGAGAAAGTCATTTACTCACCACGACTCAACAACCCCACCGCCGCCTGGGGAGGCGTCACGTGATCGATGGGGATGATTTGCGCGCCAAGCTAATGATTGAGTCCGGCCCCCCCTAACGACCATTAAGTAAGCACTCCTGTAATGGTCAAACAGCGAAAAATATACAAGCAAGCTTATCGCTAGAGCTAGCTGCGACTGGGTCGTTTCTAAACTTGGCATGTGCGTAGCCGTAAGGAAAAATGCTAGACTGTATTGTATCTTCCATCCACTTAAAAATGTTGTCTTTTGCCTTTTCTTTTTACCTCAGGACAGACTTAGATGGACTCGATTTGCGATTCCAAAAAGTCGATATCCTTAACTTTCTATTGATATACGACACAAACAATTAGTGAAATAAAAGCAGTACCATTGCAAGATTTAATACAAAATCCTAAACATCTACTATATAGCTAGGTCAACGAATGCCGGAGTTCCCACAACATCGATGTTGTGGGCACTCCGGCATTGATGTAGTTGATGTTTAGGATGTTGTATTTAGTAATTGTTTATGTTCTGTGTATTTGTTGTGTGTATTTTTATGTGTATCCAGGATTACCTGAAAAGCACCTGAAGAACTTTAATTACTTGTTAAATAAATAAAGTGAAAGTGAAATGCATACTGTAAATCACGATTTTTATATTAGGGAGATGGTGTATTTGTTTGAAATTCCAGCCAGTCTCAAAGGTGAAGGTTATCAACAGTTCCTCCATATGCAACATCAACTTCATGTTGCACAAGACTTCTTTCTCTCTATAGGTCAGGCATCTAATAGACTGATCTTGCAAAAACATATCGTTTGCACCAGGTATGTACATGTCATATCATCAGAATAGTTTGTACTCCATCAGTGTAACATGGTACGTTTCTGCTCTATCTAAACGCACTGTTACATACTGAAGATGATGTGCAAAATCTGTATGTAGCAAATGCCAATGGAGCTAGGGTTATGGTCAAGGCATCGTGCGCGCATGGGAAGATAAGTTATGCATGTGTAACGTTATATATCGGAAAAAGTTAACTGTTAAATGTGTTCGTAGCCTTCTAGCCGGTTACTTGTGTATCTACTACATTTGCTCATTACATGTTTGGCATCAACCTTAAATGTCGATTATTTACCTTTTTAATTGTTTGCTACTTATCTGCCTTTATTTTGAATTCAAATTTATTTTAAATTTAAATTATGTATCCGGAGGTTTAAATATTGCCTCCTTGCCGTATTTCAAGTTGGATTGTTTCCATAGAATTTGTCTTGATTTATCTTAATTTTCCCAAGGTATTGAAACGCGATTTTTTTACTAATTCATATTGATTAGGCACAATCAGAATTCTTTAATGCGATCTATAACGTTTTAAAACAAATTCCTATCAGGTTTACTAAATGATACCCATGCTGCCCCTCCCCGTGCGAATGAGTGAGTGGTCCGGTCTGATATTGACAATTGCCAAATCGCCAACATGGCGGCGGGGAGCGCGACGTCCATGTTGGAATATTGGAAACAGTTCGATCTACACCAATTCCAGGTGAGTTTTCCTTCCTCCTTATCCTCTGCACTTCTTCCCCGGTGTTTTCTTTAAGTCGTGATCCAAGACGGCGGTACCTAAAACTTTGTTTTCTGCGAATTTTCTTCCTGGAAAATTGATAGCTATCAGCTATGGATCAATCAATTAGAAGCCAACATGGCGCGTTTGTTGTGAGTGTAGCGCTTTTGTTTGCAGACGGGGGAATCCCTGCGATATCAGGCCCATTTCTGCCGCTGCCTGGCCGCGATTGTTACAGGAGTAGACTGATTAGTTGTTTGTAATGAGGATTAAGTCACGGTGGTACGGAGAAGTGATTTAGACGGAGAGCAAAGCGCGGAAATCTGGCATGGCCGGACGGAGAACTAGTCGCCAGGCCGTCGGAGGTGGGAAGTGTGCGGGAGAGAGAGAGAGAGAGAGAGGGAGGGGGTTGTGGCAACTCTCTTGATCGGGAATCACACTTTCTTTGCTCAAGTTGACGCTCCTCTTAATGATTTGTTTACTGTCTGGAGTTGTCACAAGATTCGGGAAGCAGGGAGAGCTCACGATACTTCAAAAGCCGAAGGAAAGTTGTGGTCGGGACGTTTCTTTCAGTACGCACTGTGCAGTAAATCAATTGCGTACACAGAGAGTACGAAGTGGGTTAGAAGACCTTCAGAACAAGACTTAAGCCGCAAAACCCAGCCGTCTGCAAATGTTATGTGCAGTCCATTTGAGCTGACGTGGCAGTTGTGCAACTTCTAGGATCTCCATAATAATTTCTAGAATCAACTATTTGTATATACAGTACTCCAATGTTTACATTACAGTGTAGAGATCACACAACACTAGCAAAAAATATGTACAATACAAACTACATGTTATCAAATATGGAAGTGCAAGAATAACACACAGTAAATTTAGTACCAGATGCAATGTTGTGTTTGTAGCATTAGATTGCGTTCATGTAACTAGATATTTTACATACATATGCTTATTTACTGACATGGAAAGAAGGAAAGACAGTAAAAAGGATAACCATCAAGGTTTTTCAAGTGCAAAGCTACTAAGCAAGTAGTAGTGCAATGCTGCTTGCAGCTGTGTTTATATGGTTTACATTTTCAGACAAGTATATATGCAGTCACCATTACTAAGGTTCTCTCCAACTGTGGTGGGTTCTTTTACAATTACATGCAGAGATTTGATGCTAGAGGCTGCACGTAACATGGGACTGTCGGCTGTATTACTAACGTTACATGACTATTACTAAATTATAATAAATACTATTACTATCACTATGGTATTGTCATCATCATCCCATTGTAATGTTCATTTCAATAATATTGCAAGTCTTGTATGGTAACTGAGTTCATGTTGTGTAGCTGTGCATTTGTAAATCACTGTGTAGTTTATGTGTAATGTCCAGTGTTCATAGGGGCCCTCCCAATGCTGTGATCTTTCAACCAGCATAGGGGTGTTTTTTTGGGGAGAACCTTCATAAGTATATCTTGCAAAAAATGAAAATATACCTTTACAATCAAGCTACATGTATAGCAAAGGGAAAACCTTACTTCACAATGTCTGTCCCTCATTAAGTGAGAAATAGTGTCTCAGTGGAGTTATGAGTTTCGAAATTTTTTGGCAAGAATACTTGACCCCCTACTGTGACCATGTATTCCGGACTCAATGTGCGACTTGCGCCACGAAAGTTGCCCTTCTGTACCTGACCCATATGCTGTGAAAAAAGCCTGGTGAGAGCCGTAGTGTCTAGCATGATATTGATCTTTTTTTTTTAGCTCCAGACAAAAAGTATTACTATTAGCCACTGTGCCATCCGATTCTTGACGAAGCCCCATGCCCCTTGTGATTTTTGAAATGGGATCAAGACCAAGAATGATGATGAAATTTGATTTTTTAGCAAGTTGCAGACAAGTATTGGCTTATCTGTTAGTAGTGTTACCATATTTCCAGCACTGTCCCAGACAGCCCAAATAAGGACTTATAAGGTAAAAGTTTGTCTGGTAATCATACTTCATAGGCCCTGTCTGATGTATCAAGTTTGTTTTCCTAAACACATAGTTGAACTCAATCATAATGATTCTTGCGTTGGTGAAAGAAAATGACAGCAACAAGGAAGACAGAAAAAAATTCTACATGTATTCTGTGCAAAAAGTTCCCCTTTCACTCTCAGATTTGTATACATAAATATGCTGTCCAAAAAGGCCTGGGTGTACGTTGTACATACATATATATTGTTACTCAGCTTTGCGTTCTGTGCAACAATCCTAATATGCATTTATATCCAGTTATCTGTTTTTCATTCCTCACATGCCCAGAGTTTGATGGCCGGGGCATACGTATGGTACATTGCCTCGGAAGTCCTTCAAAGCTGGTGGGAAGGACAAAATATCAATTTCTCTGTCATTGCCAAACGTTGAAATTTATAGGTCTGAGGAAATAGCCAGTATTAATGTCAGTGATGCATGCCCGTCGATGGGGGAACCCTCAATATTGGCAATTTTAGGAGGTGTGACAGGAATGAAAATTGCCGGCAGATTTATAACCAAGTGCTCCGACCAAAGTTATGATAACTCCACCAGGCATTACGGCAGAAATTGTATTGCAATTATGATTAGTATGCCGGGGCCATAGCCACACAGTAATGGCCTAAATAAAAGTTCCTCGTGGCAATAAATAAAGTAGATGAGATAGAAGGTGTGTGTAGTAATAACTATGATGATCAGAGCGCTCTATCTATGGTGTTCCTGTGTTTGATATGATCTAATAGTCCAGGTACACCACTCGGAGAATGCTGTGGCTTTAATGGGGTGATTTGAATCAAATTGGGTTGGAGTTAAGATGTATTGGTCGTCAATGTAAAATGTATGAAACTTGTGTCCGGAAGAAAAACTTCATAGCAGTAGTTATAGATAACAGAAACGACTTTACAGTCATCCTAAATTCTAAACCAAGCTGAATTGTCGTATACTGACTGTCTACCAATGGAACAGTAAAATCAAGAAAAGTCATTTGAAGTATTATATATGCAACAATTTACATGTACAAAGAGATGTAACCTTACAAAGCACCAAAAAAGCAAAAACCCATTTAAAATTCAACCAGATAGACATTTGCAGGTCAATGAATCACAATCCAAACTAAGTTTTTCCAGATGTTTGTGAGCCTAGTTGTTGGACATCACATTTGTCTTGTGTCAGCATAGATTAGAACCTAACAATATATAAAAAAATTCAAAGCCTTGCAAATGTTCTAAGAGTTAAATATGTTCATGATATTTGTACTACAGCACTTTGCAGAAATTTTAGTTTTTTTTGCCTTGTTCAAAGTTAACAAAAGAACATTTTCTTTTAGGCCATACCAATTAATTTTCCTTGGTTCTTAGAAATTCAGGAAGAAACATGAAAAAATTTGGGCTGAGAGGAAAACGTTGCAATGATATTCACTCCCAGAAACTGTGTGTGACACAGTGTAATCTTTCCCTTCAGAGACTTTGTTTTCGTGTTAATCTGTCTGATCTTAGCATGTCCAGGACAAGATATATTCTCCAGTTTCTGCTGCAGTACCAAGGTCAGCTACCAGGAGGCCTAAGTTTGACCTTGACCTTTGTCTTATTAAGATCTACCAACAAACTAAATACGCGCACCATCACAATCCATAAAGGCCTTCTTGAGCTATGCTGACCACAAATCTTCAGAAACACAGACACAGTATACATAGACACACACACACACAGACAGACCAAAAACAATACTTCCATTTCATCAGGTAGTATTAAGAGTCTCTTTCCCTCAATTTGCCTAATTGGCCAATGTTTGAGGAATCATGTTTCTGTCTCCATGTGGAATCAATGATACATGAGGACAGGTGCTGTACACTGGCTACACATACAGGTCAGGGACAGACACATTTGCCATGCAGTCTTCACTTTGGTACAGTTCTACAGTTGGATACTCAATCATTGTGATAAATTTCTACTTAGAAGAATTTTGGTCTATATGGACCTGTCTTCTGCCACAAAGGACATTTTAGGGCTTCTCTTCAGCAGATTCAGCCTAAGACTGTACTGATGACATTTAATTGGCAAATTATACCGTGGCTGAGGACATGTACTACTGTACTGGTATGTTGTTTCTGGGCAGAACATTCCATTTAGGGGTGGGGGTGTGGAGTTAAATTTTTGAAATCATTCCACTCTTGTGCTTGGCTCATCCCATAGTGTTGGTATCTGTGAGTGTGAGGCAAAAAGGAGATGTTACTGACGGAAAACAGTTGCTTATTTTGTAATAATAAATTGTATTGTAGGCTGGTGCTGGCAATTTTTGGGGGTACCAAAAAATATCAAGAGACACCTCAAGTAACTTGTTTTGGGGCTATTTCAAATGCTTGAAGTATGAAATAAAGATGAAGATGTACTAAGAAATGGCAGTAAATGTCAATATCAGACAGATTTCCTTATCCAGAATATTTTTATTTTGCCCCCCAGATATTGCATTGGATGCCTTTAAGCCTTCTTGGAAGGTGTAGCCATTTACTACTACTGATTTAGGCATAGGGGAAACATTTGCTATCTAATTTAGAAAACAGTGATAAAGTACATTTCCTCAGACCATGTTACTAGTTGTGATGGATGCTGGTATTGGTAAAGCCCAGATGGCTTGTTAAGTACTCATGTTACATAATGTACAACAAGCTTTTCATGACTGCTTCATGCATTCGTAACAAGTTCAAGGAAATCATGAATATAGTTTATTGTAAATCACTTATTTGTTTGCGGTAGCAAAAGTGAGAAAAATGTTTGCTCTGGGGACACGTGTAGCAAGAAGAAATTTGGTAAATAATTTATGAAAAAACTTAAACTGTTCTCCAACTCAAAATTTGACTCACCAGAATTTTCGACTGAATCACTCAGTCTTCCTTAGCTAAACAGAACGGAACAGTTTAAGTTTTTCATAATGTAATTTACCAACTCAGATGAACTTTCATGCTGGTAAAAAATTAGTTTG